TTTCTTCTGTTCTCTTCTTCAAATCTATACTTCTAAATTCTCTGCCTAAATTCTGAATTTGATTTCACTAATTTCTTTTCTTCTGATCCCCCAATAAGAGTAGATAGTTTAGTTTATTGTACGCATCCCGGGTGTTTTTTTTAACAGGGCTAGAAGTTTGATTTCTGTTTAGAATTGTGTTTCCGATTCTTTCATCCCTGTAGGTCTCCGACTGAAAGCTGAATTTTTTTCAGTAATTATTTCTATTTATTTTCTTTCTTAAGAGGAGTAGATAGGTTTGCTTACCGTCGGGCATTTTATTTGATAAATTATTTATGAACTCGCATGAATAATTCTATATTCTATAAGCGTAATATTTCTCTTCTTTATATAAAAGAGGAAAAATTTTCGAAATTGTAGGAAAAGAATTTCGAGTCGTAATGTTTGCTTTGCTTATTTCTGTGTATTGCTTCAGTATCGTCGATTTCTTTCCCTATCATTTATCATTCAAGCATTTTTAACCTTTACCTATAATCTTATTGGGATATCCTTTTCTTATTTATTGATTGTAGCAACGTAATATTTTTATGGGCGAATTTTCAGATTTGTAATAAAAGCGTTTCGAATCGTAAGGTTATTTTTTGGTTCAGTAGTGAATTTCTTTCTTTATTATTTTTCTCTCAAATTTTAGCATAATAAATTTTCTCAGATATGTAATGATAATTTTATACTTTTATTATTTCTATTTTTTTCTTATTTTTTTTACTGGATCGTTTGTATTATTGTAAAAATAAGTCAGAGTAGCACATTTGATAAAGAACTCCTCACTCCAACATCCAGTCTAATATATATATATATATATATATATATATATAGTCCTGAAAAATTTATTTCGAATGAGCTCTTTGGGGAGAAATTGTGAGTTTGTAAACATTGACTATTACTGCTAATAATGCAAGACTCTACTGTAAATCGAACCAAGTTCTCTCAGTCACTGTGTGTTTATGTAAAAATAAATACGCTTAAATTCACCTTCATCCCTGTCGTGTGGCAATGGCTTAGTGGTAGTATCCCAGACGCCAATTCAGTCGGATTTCGATCCTAACCGGACGTCTAGCCACACTGATGAGCTGTGATACACCGAAACAGTCTGTCTGTGGATGACAATATATATATATATATATATATATATATATATATATATATATAGTTGTTCTTTGTCATGCTAGAGGGCTTACTTGTCCCAGTGATCTAAAGAGCGAAGCCGTCGATTTCCAACTCCTGTAGGGCTACCCATGGCGGTAAGGTCGAGTAGGGAGCAGAATGAAGGCGACCAATTCCCAAAGTCCCCCAACGGCGGAATAGGCAAAGATCTACACGATCCCAACGGCCAAACCGTCGGAAGAGGGCATCGCCAGTCGGGCTGGGGTAAGCAAGGCGGACCATGACAGACAAAACATCCAACAGCCCGATGGAACCAGGTTTGCCAGATCTTACCTGTCTCGATTTCTTTTGATCAGCGATGGAGGAACATATAGTCAAGTGTTTTAACTTCTCCATCGTGCAAAGTTATCCTCCCAAAATAAAATTCACCCGAATGGCATCGTCAAACACTCTTTGATTAAGAGCCATCTCCGTAACCAGGGGAGAGAAAGATAATAGGGAGAGAGGATGACGAATCTGATGCTCGTGTGCGGACCTATTACGCACGAACATACATACATACATACAAAAATACAAACCACATACAACGCCAAGCATTCATTGGTTAATTAATCACCACTACGTTATTATAGACAATTACAAATCGCAGCAATGCGACAATTTTGTAATCGCTCTATTTCTAAGTAGGTCAATTTTGTGCACTTTTGGGAGAAATGGATCATGGAAGCTTTCTTAAGTCTCCCCAAAGCTCGCTCAGTGATTGGTCGATGCCAACCAATCAGATCGTTTGCATGTGAAGAATAATTCTTTCCGCGCAGCGAATTGGAGCCTACAGTCGCTTATTTAAGCTAAGGTCTTTTTCATCTCATTAGTGAGAATTCCAGCTGCCAAACAAATCCACGAGAGTTGAAACCATGCGCCAACTTTCTCACTCACACACAGCATGCTGAACAAACCTTGTACACACTCACATAAACTCTTCTTACACAGCAATATCTTTCACGAACAACCATTACAAGAGACTCTCATGAACATTCTTCCAGTGAACTTCGGAACACTAAAATAACAGTTAGAGAGAGACAACTCTTGGTTAATTCAACCTTTTCTTACTTAAATGCATGCACTCTTTCACATCGTCGTTTGATATTGTACATCTTGTTAAATACATATTTTATGTGTAACAATGTCTTTTGATTATCTTTTTCTGTGTGAGCCCTGTTTCCTAATCTAAAGTTAAATTAATGTGGTGAAGTCCGCTATTAAACGTTCTAGTTTAATATATATTGTCTACTGAAATAAGAAGTCTAAAAGCCGAGTTCGAATTCCAGTCGGGTTCGTTCCATTCACTTACGCTCAAATACCCTTAGAAAAGGTACGAATCCATCGTTTCACCCTCCAGCTATGGGTTAAATAGTAGGACAGACTGGGCCCTATAACGTCAATCGGCAACCACTCTCATGCACAAAGAAACGGCAACCTACTGCGGGAACATCTTCTGTCTAGTCAGTCATGATTCGAAAGAGACAGAATCGCCCAAACGCGTATAGCACTTGACTGACTGACTGGTTGCTCAGAAAATATTAATCGTGTTAAGATGTGTATGCTGCTTTGTGGAACAAACTCCCGAGGGGATGCTTCCTTGATTACTAAAATCTTCATGTTAAGTGTCAACTGTTATGTATCATACATACCGGGTTTAACCTCAAAATTGTCCAAATCGTGTAACAGCATAATTGCCCATCCAACAAAATATTTAGTGTCTAAAAAACTCTGAACGAATTGAGTTTCTTTTTTCCAGGTTTTTCAGATAAGACGTTTAGCCATCTTGATTATTATTTGTCGCAAAAATCACTGAAAAACTACTTGAATTATTTTGCTAGAAAGAGAACAGGTTAACATAGTTTTGTGTCAGTCCCACTATGTCTTCCTAACTGAGTAATGGTGAGAGGAAAAAGATCATTCAGGCTTTCAGTAATGGTACCAACACTCATACTCTGGCTTCCATCTTCGAATTCATGCATCGTCAACAAAACAGTGAATAAGTTTAAAAAAGGAGGAGCAGTAGAAAGGAAAACTGGATCAAGAGGTCACGTCAGGAGGAGGGATCATCATTTCAGTTTAGAGCTAAAGAGATCAATTAGAAAAAATCCAACTTAATCCATAAAACGTTTGTCACATGTGAAAGGAGTTTCAGCTATGACAATCCAAAGAGCATTAAAAAAAAAAAAAGACTTGAAAATGAAATCGTACGTGAAATGTGTGACGCCACTTGTTACTCCAGGACAGAAAGTTGGAAGGTTAGAGAGGGCGAAGATCATCAGGAATAAGTTGGAAAATGATCCTGGAATATATATATATATATATATATATATATGAACTTTATTTCAATCCTTCATGGGTTTCCGATCCTTACCTATGATTAAGTAATGATGAACGTTGAACATGTCATTTTCGTTTATAATCGATTTCATCACATTTCGTCTGTTAAGCTTGGAGAGTAATTATACATTCTTATTGCTCAATGTAGAGCCCAATAGCTTTATAAAAACCTCAGAGGATTCCAGTAAGATATCTTTAATCATTTTTAAGATACAACAATTCAAAGCTTAATCTAACAATTGGACAATACTGCTGTTACACGATTTGGACAACCTTGCGGTATATATATATATATATATATATTGCTGTTACACCCGGTCGACTCATGATCTGTACTTCTCCTTAGTTTCATGCAACAATCTCATTTAATAGCTGTCTACGTTGAGTAGAGTTTTATTTATACCCAATACAATGATAGAGATTTAAAGAATGAGGTGTATGATATGGATTTAAGAAGACGTGAAACGAGGTGAAGATTATAACGATAAGAATAAGGAGGATATATAATTATTGTCCCCTTATTTGAAGAGGTTGGCTGTAATGTTTAGCGAAACATCCTCGTGGAAGTTTTTTTTTTCCCACAATGTAGCATTTCCCAGAAAAAAAAGCTCTGTGAATGAAATTTCCATGTTACAATACGGGAGGAATGGGTGTGATTCGAACCCTGGGATGTAGCGTGGTGATTCCCAGGTTTAAAGATCTGAACTTGTGAAACTCAAGAGCGGTGTTCATTTGAATATTTGCCATAGAAATAGTCACAGAGGCGCGATAATCTTGCAGCGTTGCGTCTGTGGAAAACATCGTAAGCACGTCAAAGAAATTTCGTGGTAAAATATTTCCGGAAAATATTAGAAAAAACTTATGTCGACTTCTTTGTCTCTGAAGGTTCTGCTCCCTTATAAAATGCACTAGTGATTGAATGAAATGAAAAAGAATCATTAGTCTGGAAGGTGTGAAAGAAACATCCCATCTTAACGATTTGATTTCTGCCCTTGCATTGTTCATCCCATTAATTTGCTGGAAACAGGCATTAGCAGTGACGGTCCTTCCATGTTCCATTTGTTCGTAATGGACGACGTCGTTCATATCCTACTAAAGTCAATGAAACACCTTTTGCGGATGGTGTTTTCATAACATTAAAATGGATAAATTCTGCATATCGACCTCAGTGGGTTATTTAATGTCGACAAGAATTTTAGGATATCTTCCTATGAATAGAATATGGTTTGGTTTATTTTGTTTTACGGTATAATAATCATAATACAGTAATTCGGGGGTGGGGAACAGTTTATTAGATAATAACAATAGAAAAATTCTCCCCCACTTTATTTCCAGTACAATCATATAAATACTCTGAGAGGATGCTGAGTAGTTCACGGCCCAACCAAATCCACTTTATATCCATTATAATCATGTAAATACTTCCATCTATCTACTTATCTATCTTGCTATCACAGTCTGCTCATATCTATCACAGTATGCTCATATCTATCTATCTGTCTATCTCAGTCTGTTCATATCTATCTATCTATCTATCTATCTATCTATCTATCTATCTATCTATCTATCTATCTATCTCAGTCTGTTCATATCTATCTATCTATCTCTCAGTCTGTTCATATCTATCTATCTATCTCTCTATCTATCTATCTATCTATTTCATGTCTTTCCGAATGCTGATTTATCAACTCTCCCCATAGTAAGAACTTCCCTATTTGAATAATGTATTCATTTCCGTACTTCTAAAATTGCTTAATATATGATGACTAGATGTTATATATTTCAGTCTCTCCTCCCTCTCTCGCTCCCCTGCCTCTCTATCTCTCTCTTCCTCTCTCCTCCTTTCTCTGTTACCGTGCCATTCTGCATTTCTTTTGCACTACTGCCCTTGGAAAAGGTAGAAATACACTTTCCAACTCTGAATAAATAAGCGGGTAATTAATGTCCTTTAATCATGTTAGACTATTGTTTCTTGAAAAGGAGACTGGCATCTGAAACATTGCACAATTCGGGGAATTCCTTGGTAAACGAATGTCCACCATTTTTTTTTCATATGTCTTATTTATTTCCGAAACACGATGCCAATGATCCATGAACAAATATCAATGACCACAATGGTTGCAAAAAGTATTTTCTTATTTATAAGAGAGCAGGGAATTATTTCGGGTTTTATAGAATCTCCTGTACCAGATGAAGTCTACGAGTTTCGAAGAACTTTTGCTGAGGAGAGTTCGGAGATTGGCATAGGTTGAGTCTGATCGATATTAACAATGAAAACCAATTATGGATTTAAACAGACTTGGTATTATCAACTGTTTCCTTATAAGGAAACATTCAGCATTCTTTGACCTATCTGCCAATGCCACTTTCGGTCGAAATTTATATAAACTTATCTTAAAACAATTATAATAAGTTTCACAAGTTCACTAAATGTTATCCCTCTTTTCATTATTGATGGGGGTTTCCTTACTAAATTTTTCTTAAAATCGTGTGGGGGTGGGATCCGAATACGTTATTATTTTATTTTCGTGTTACATATTTGTGGTTCACAAGTTTCGAAGAGGTATTCTACTCAGTATCTGTCTATATTTCTGAGATGAGGCATTATGTACATTATTTACATTATTCGGACTATTGTCCTCATCTTTCTCGCCATATTTGTTACAACGTTTCGGCTTTTCAGTATCTGTCTATATTTCTGAGATGAGGTATTATGTACATTATTTACATTATTCGGACTATTGTCCTCATCTTTGTCGCCATATTTATCACAATGTTTCGGCCTTTCAGTATCTGTCTATATTTCTGAGATGAGGTATTATGTACATTATTTACATTATTCGGACTATTGTCCTCATCTTTGTCGCCATATGTCTTAAAAAATATATATGCTTTAATTTTTTAAAGCCTCTTCCCTTTAAGACTAAAACCTTCCAACCTCCCCTGGCCACTGTACGATTTTGTATTTTTAAACATAACTTTATATAATTAATTTTTTTTTAAACTCCTTTTTTATTTCTCTCTTAGTTTCAAATTAACATTTCATTCTCATATAAATCCAAATTAATGTTGTAAGGTTAATATCTGGGTTTAATTTTAGAAAACCTCTTCCCTTTAAGACTTATAGATTCCACACTCTCCAGACCACTGTCTCGTGCCTTTCCTCTGTTTGTACGTTCCGGCCTTCTTTCAGGTGATTGGAATTTTTCTTCTTCTGTCTCTATCTCTGAGATAAGGTATTATGAAGACTTGCATTATTTACATTATTCGAACTCATCTTCATTGCCATATTCACAAGGTTTCGAACCGATATTCAAATCACCTGAAGAAGCCCGGAGTTTGCAACGGCTGAAACGTTGTGAAAATAGCAATGAAGATGAGAATAACAGTCGAATAATGTAAATAATGGAAGAAATCATAATACCTCATCTCAGCAATATAGGCAGATACTGTAGAAAAATTCCAATTATCTGATGAAGGCCGGAAGTACAACGGCCGAAACGTTGTGAATATGGCAATGAAGATGAGGATAAAAGTCTAAATAATGTATATAATGCAAGTAATCATAATACCTCATCCCAGATATATAGACAGATATTGAGGAAAAATTCTAATCACCTGAAGAAGGCTGGAGCGTACAACGGCCGAAATGTTGTGAATATAGCAATGAAGATGAGGATAACAGCCCGAATAATGTAAATAATGCAAGTAAAATGTCTGCTACTGTTTTTATAGTATTTATCTCTGACATATATATATATATATATATATATATATATATATATATATATATATATATATATATATATGAAATGCCATGATAGCATTTAAGATATTAGGAGTTACATCGTAATTGGTTCTGTGTATTGTTTGTGGTTTTTGTTATAGTGATACTAATGTTGATGTAATGGTAGTGCTGATGATTGAGATGATACCCTAGATACAAGAGAATGAAAAAGGCGTTCTGGTGGTGGTGGTGGCGGCGGCGGCAACGGTGGTACCAGTGTGAGGAAGCTGCAAGTGATACTACTCCTTTTGTTGCAAGTGGTACGACTCCTCCCCAAGCTGTTGAAGCTTTTGTTGGACAGACATTTCGGTATGGTAGCGATGCTGCTGCTGCTGCTGCTGCTGCTGCTGCGTCACTGACAATGATCAAAGCTAAATTCTTTTTTTTATTTTTTCTTCTCTTGTCCCTCCCCACTTTCTCTCATTCCCTCACCGACTTTCGTCCTCTCGAAAGTCACTCGAAAGAGTTTGACGAAAGGTCAACGAAATACACTGATAATTACATAACAGTACTACAAGGAATAGTCAAAGTTATTCTAGTCTGCAAGACTTCATGAACAAACTTTAGGCTTAAAAAAATCTATCTCAGTCTATTCATATCTATCTATCTATCTATCTATCTATCTATCTATCTATCTATTCAAATATATATTTATATATGTACACATTTGTGACATTCTATCTCACTTTATCTATCTATCTATCGCTCTCTCGCTCTCTCTCTCTCTCTCTCTATATATATATATATATATATATATGTGCATGTGTGTATCTCATAGTCTGTTCAGATGTATCTATAGATACATTTAGATAGAAATGCATATATATATATATATCATATATAAAATGCATATATATATATATATATATATATATATATATATATATATATTATAGTCTGTTCAGATCTATCTATCTATATATATATATGCATATTTATGTATTCATATATATATATATATATATATATATATATATATATATATATATATATATATATATATGGGACATTCCATATTTCTCTCTCGCTCTCGCTGTATATATATATATATATATATATATATATATATATATATATATATATGCCATAGTTTATTCCCATCTATCTATCCATATATATATATTAATATATATATATATATATATATATATATATATATATATATATATATATATATATATATATATATATGACATTCTATGTCTATTTCTCTCTTTTTATTGGCATTTATTTTTAAAAAGAAATTATACAATATTTATTTAATAATGCAATAGCTTTATTACATCATATTAAAGAGTTAGGATTATACGCCTTGCCATTACCTCAGATAAATAATGAACCATTCCAAAGCCGTAATGAAAGGCTCTATCAGTCGCTGGTTGGTTTTACTCAGAAAAAGGAAGCATTCATAATAATAAGAGAGAAAGAAACAAAGAAACAATGTAAGAAAGAAAGAAAGAAAGAAAGAAAGAACGAGCGACAAGCTCCCTTCCTCGTACCTATCTCAGCCTGATGAAGTCAATCTCACTCAATTACGGGCAAAGTCACCATCAGACACAGTATGCGGATTTATTTACACACACACGCGTGCGCACATACAGTTAAGACCTACAAGATTCATTCACCCGAAGTCACCTTCAAACAGACATTCAAGAAAACCATTGTAAAGTTATATAAAGCTAACAGTTTAGATATTGTCGGGTTACTTCCTCTTAATTTTCGAAACTGCTACTAGGGGACGCTCCATTTTCTATGAAAATTTCTCGGACATTCAAGCTGGTAAATGTTGTTTAATACTGTTTATTATAACCAGAGCATTTACTTAAATATTTGTATCTATAAAAAGAATGTATAAACAAAAATGTCTTAAAATAATTGTCGGACTTTGTCCATTTCATAATGTGTGACGTCATTTATTTACATTTGGATACGCCATGAGCAGATATGAATGTATGTGAGAGAATCATGGAAGATTGAAGTTTAAAGGCAATAAATTTGACCTTGCTAGCCGAACGCTCCTCTGTGGTCAAATCGGTTAAAGGCACGTCAGACTATATGACGGTTCCGTATAGGATGCTGGTTCGATTCCTATCGGACGAATATTTTCCACGAAAATTTCTCGGACATTCAGGCCGGTAAATGTTGTTCAATGCTGTTTATTATAAACAGAACATTTACTTAAATATTTTATCTATAAAAAGAATGTATAAACATAAAAATGTCTGTCTCTCTCTCTCTATATATATATATATATATTTATATATTTTCTTGTGGTTTCTTTACATTCCTTTACATAAATTCATATCTTGAGTCTGCCATGTTTGTTGTGGGCATTTCAGGAGACACACGTGTTTATCTCTCAATGAATACAGCGACCCACAACACTATATCTGAACTGCGTTTATATGAAAGACTACACAACGCTACAAAAAAAAAAAAAAGAAAAAAAGTCAATTTAAAACTAAGAGGTAGGACATTTTTTTTTTAATTATTTCACCGGATGCAAAATGGAGTTCCATTAGTACGCAGGGGAGCTACAGAGAGTGAACGTGAGAAAAGACTGAGTTTAGGGGAGGTTGGATAGAGGACAAAAGTTGAACGAGATACAAGAAGACAGAAGATGACGATTAACGTTAGATTTAAATTTTTGAAGATTGCAAGGGAAGCAAGTAAGCGGAAGGGAATTCCACAGGCGGGAAGTGCCAGAAATGAAGCTGTTGGAGTAGAAGTGGCAGTTGCATTTACGTATTTCAGCAGTAAAAGGGTGTGACTTTGATGCCAATCTAGTAGCACGTTTATGTTCACGTACTCGGGGTACCAGGAAAAAAATGCTTGTCAGAGAAATAGCCATGAAAATTGTAGAAAAGACTAAGGGAAGCCACATTTTGTTGGTGAGAAACTGACTGAAGTTGAGATTAAGTCAGAATCGATTACTTTGCAGATCCTTCTTTGGATAGTGAAAAGCCTCAAGACGATTAGCAGGAGCACTAGGCCAGATATAACAACAGTATTTAATGCACGGACAAAAGGCAGACTTGTAAATGTGTAAGATGGACTCTAACATAAAACAGTGACCCTACTCTCCTGGCAATAGATGCAGCTGTTGATTCGATGTAGTCGTTTCACTTCAAGTCAGTTGAAAACTTGAGGTCAAGAAGGCGTAATGTATTGAAATGTCAAAGGAGAGAGAAAAAAGACGGCTGGGGAAACAGAAACAGACCCCATTGGAATATAACAACAAAAAATAAAGGTTTGAAAACTAATTGGTTTAAGCATTGCGGAAACATATTATCCAACAGAAAATGTCACACCACAGGACGGTTAGAGATATAAATGGTTGAAGCATCGATGGAAAAGCATTGGGGAAAATGAAACTAAACTTAACCAACAAAAGACATTGAAAATAATGATTGATAGAGATAACACTGATTAAAACTTTGAGGTGAGGGGAGGGAAGGGTAGGAAAAAACAAAATTACAATATAAAAAAAATACCTAATATAGATTCGGAATTAGAACGGGGGTTAGGGTTAAGGTTAGTGTTATTTGTTTGTATATATATATATATATATATATATATATATATATATATATATATATATAATTTCAAAGCAACGACAAACTCGTGTATATGAGACGCGGAAGCGAAAATCGCGTCGCAGCTCATGACGTCACACATGACTACGCGAGAGTCAAAACGAGAAGTATTAAGTATGGAAAGCCGTTGGTATAAACCAATGGCTTCTGTTATCAATTATAGGCATTTAAGAATATTTGTGGAGATTTCATAGTTTATTTTGTTCAGGTTAGGTTTCAACTGTTTTATGTATAGAGCTTGAAGAATTTAAGTATAGTTGTGTTTTCAACAAGGATTTTCCGGATTGTGTACGCGGCCAGACATGTTGTTTTAAAACAAAAAAAAAACAAAAAAAAAAACGTGCATTGTTGTTCCGCCTGTGTGTTGTTTGATATATTGAAATGTAATTATCATCTTTGATAATGGCTTATGTAAGCCGAAAGTTTAGATTGGATTTAAACATGGGTCAATATGGTGATTTCCTTTCGTATTTCAATGATAATGTTATTAAGCTTATCAGACAATATGAAAGGAACTTACTTAAAATAAATAGACAAAACTTGTCTATGTTATTTAATGAAACACGCATTAATGAAAAATTGCTGCCTAAATATATATATATATATATATATATATATGGCTAAGATACAAAGACAAGCTGAAGAGCGACTTACCGGCTGTCAATATACCTCATAGCATCCTCGAGCGCTTAGCCTTCGATCGGGTAGAATGGAGATCAACGTGCTTTATTGGACTCAGCAGATTTCAATCAGCTTGTCCGAATCGTCTTCAAGGAGCGAGAGCAAGATCTAAAAGGTTAGCCAATCTAACAGTGATCACATCCCACAATCCTTACTCTTGCTCCACATGCGGCCTCCTTTGTAAATCACTAGCGAATTTTAAGTGCCACGAAATCTCAAAACTGAATCAATTAAGTTGTCAGGTCCTCATACGTCGAAACCGACCGGTGAGTCCATTATATATATATATAAATGAATATTATATATATATATATATATATATATATATATATATAATATTCATTTTAAATAACAACACACAGAACGCATTGATTGTTCACCTTAACCAAATAGTGCACAATTTTGTCATAGCGAATGCTACTTTGATTAAAAGAGAAAATAATCCACTAAGATGAAAATATCTGTAAAATGCCTTGATCGTTATTTCAGCCACATCAAATTTGCGTACAGGTTCTTACAATATATCACCATTCACGGTAGAATTTATATTGTCATAATGTGGGATAGTCTGGAAAAAAAAAGGTGATGGAGAGAAAAAGAAAAAGAATATCGATGAACTTGGCTAGATTGAGAAAAATATTCTCTCATAAATATTTTTTCAAGGATTTTTAGACTACCTACCTCGCGTCTCTCGTTTCATGTGCATGTGTAGACATGTCAACGTCAATAAAGCCGAATCCGATGCAATCCTAACGGATGAAAAATGTCAAAAAACTCAAAGAAACACAGCTAGAATGTAAAAAAAAAAATACCAAATAAAGTTTCCGAATTCGAAGGAAAGAATCGTTTAAAAAAGCCATCGAAAAGAAATCTAGCGATAGCAAAAACTCAAAGAAAAGTAAATTATCGACGTAACCATGTACGTTTTTTTAATCTCTCAAATAGTTGTGAAATGATTAGATTTTTCTCCTGACCACAAGGGACACACGTCCTGTTGTTATCGAATAAAGTGCATTAACATGGTCGAGGTTTGATGTTGACTCTTCTATCGACCAAATCTATGGAAACAGAAATACGGAATCAGGGTTGATTTACGAATGGAAAGTAATTAGAAATTTTGAACTTTTGTCTGGACTTTCTCTCGTATAGTTCAACTGTTTGAAATGATTGATTTGAAGCCAATCTGATTTCGATAAGTCCGTTCTTCAAGGAATCATTTTTTTTGTTGGATTGAGATTAGAAGATGAGTGAAGAACGGTTAGAGACCACGGATGTTGGAATTTGATTCTGGTTCTTTGAGATTCAATTAAAAGCAAACATCTTTGTCATTTAAATACAAATAATACCCTCGTTAAAAACACAATAAAACCACATCATTTAGTTTGTTCAGAAAATAACGTCTGATTTAAGAATCAACTTCTATTCTTGAGTTAATGCATTTAAACAATGTTTAAATCGGTTTAAATAGTATCCCTGACCATCTATACATTTCTGCCGTCGATGTGCAAGTTTATGACGTTACGATGTTTTAGAATCAACATTTATTTCTGAATTAATGTATTTAAAAAGTGTTTAAATAAGCCAAAATAGGAACCTTGAAAATCTATACAATTCTGCCATCGAGTAACAAATATATTTATGACTATGATATTTTAGAACCTACGTTTATTCCTGAATTATTGTATTTAAACAGCGTTTAAATCAGTCAAAATACAAAACCTGGGCATCTATACAATTCTGTCATCGAGTTACAAGTTTATTTATGCTTTTACGTTAAATCATTGAAAGCAGTTTCTGCATCTTTTTTTTTTGCAACGGAATGTCTTTTGGCTTAAAATTCTTTGAAGGTGCTTTAAAAAGTGGTAGTCAGTGGGCAGAGGGCAAGAGATGTGGATGTAGCATCGTCTTGTAAGTCCATGTCTTGAACTTCTGTAATGTCATCCTGGGGAAAGTGCCGCTGAGCATTGTCAGGAAGCAGAATTGAACATCGTCGATTAAAAAGTCTCTGTCGTATTTTGTTTAACCGAATGTGGCTTTCATCCACTTGCTGGCAATAAACTTCGGCGGTGATGCTGTTGTTTAGCTTCCAGAAATTTGTAATAGATAACGCCAATGGTCGACTATCAGACAGTCCTTAGAATCTTATGTTGGAGCATTTTCCTTTTTGGAATGTTTTTGGTCCCTTAGACAGGATCAAGCCGATCATAAAGGATACATTTCTCGTCACAACCACTATTCAATCAAGAAATGGATCATTCAAATTTTGCATATGCAGTATCGAAAGCACTTCGAAACGCCAAACTTTTTCATTTACACTGAGATCATGTAGAACTCATTTATCGAGTTCCACTTCCCAATTTTCTCAAATGGGTTCTAGATTATTGACATGTTGACGCACATTCTTTGAGACATTTCTCTGACAATTTGACGTGGGTTTTGTTCGAGTAATATTTTCAGATTTTGTTTGTCAATTGCAGAGGGACGTCCTCTACCAGCTTGATCTTCAATAATCTTGTTACTGCAGAACTCTAGAAACCAGTACCTCATTCTCTGGTCACAAATGGATTCTTCACCCTATTCTCTTTTAATGCTGGCAGCAGTTTGAGAAGCATCGTGACAAAGCTTGAACTCAAATATAAAGAGTCATCTTATCTTCATTTTCAAAATGACGGCTACATGATGTTAAATTCTGAAAGAGATTCATACACATTAAGAAAGAGGATATTTTAATCTCCAGTAATGATAAACTATTCATATTATCTTAGAACATAAATAGAAGGTTCATTCTAATGTCGGATATTATCTTCAGGACAACCTAATATTTTTTCCAGTGTATATACAGAATGCGTCAAGTATCTGAGAGAGGAATTGTGAACGAGTTTGTTATAAGATTAACAAAGAGGACATTTTAATTATTAGGAATAAGTGAAGTATTTTTATGCAACAATTATAATAATATATTAGAACACAATTGTTACAGTTTTTTTGGTATATGTGCTAGTGAGCCAACCAAAATGAGCTGACTCATTTTATAGTTCACCAATAGACGGGTTAACCAATCAGAAAGCTCAAAATATTCAATGCGACGTGTATAACGGTAGCCATTTTTTCCCGAATATTCACTGACAGCCAGCCTTTGATATCGAAGACTGAAGAATTAGATTCCATAATATACCCAGAAATGAGGGGGTGTTACAGTTTTTTGGATATGTATGTACTAGTGAGCCAGTCAAAATGAGATGACTCATTTTATACTTCACCAATAGAAGGGTTAACCAATCAGAAAGCTCAAAATATTCAATCCTACATGTATAAAGGCAGCCATTTTGTTTTTTTCTCCCAAAAATATCTCCACTGCCAATCTGATATCGAAGACTTAAAGAATTAACAGCCGCTACTTTCTCCGAATCTTCACTGCCAACCTCTGATATTGAAGAGATTACGGACATCACTGGATTCCATATTCAGAGACTATGGCAAACATGGTTAACAACAATTTTCCCTACAATATTTTTCAGTGTATACACTGGGTGCGTCACGTATTTGAGAACAGAGTTTTGAGAGAGATTGGTAAAGGCTTAACGAAGAGAAAACTTTAATCCTCAGGAACGTGGCATGTATATTTGTTCAACTTTAATAAGGACACAATAATAAGATTAACAAACTAGTATAACCCTCTACCTCCAGTGGCACCCGGGCCTTGTACAGGGTGAACCTTACTGTAAAAATATATATATATATAGATATAGTTGTTTATATATTAGTATTTTTTAGTAGATAGTCGAATAAAGTAACTGGTAGAGGAATAATGACGAAAAGGCGTTTGACCAAATTTAGGAATAACATTAATTGTCTATATTTTAGATTTTTTTTTAATTAGATATTAATATGATTTTGTATGGTGGCCGTCTTAAAAGTGGAAGATTTTCAGGCTTTGATAGAAATAACATCAGTCGATATTTAATATATAGAGATTGTCTAAGTGTTGATTAGATGTGTGACACAAGGCCAAAGGTAAGGTGCGCTCAGTGTGGATTGAACTCACTATTCGATCGTAATTAATCTAGCAAGATAAGCATGTTAAGAATTACACGACGTCGAAGTGCTCGAATATAGTGATTTACTAAGGGAAATTTAGATGTGGCACAAGGCCAAATGTATGGAGTACCTAGTGAGGATCGAATTCATTACTTAATGGTAATTTCTATGGCGAGACAAGCTTGTTAACCATTACACAATGTCTAATTGTTCAGGTGATTTATTAAGCAAATCCTAAATATGAAATAAGGGATAAACTACTACTCCTGTACAAATGACCCGTGAGGAGTATGAACTGGACAATAAGCAAACATATCAAATGCTATCGAGTAAAAGAGAAATCTCTATCTATAAAAGGCAGGATGTGTGTGTGTGTGTGTGTGTGTGTGTAACGAATGCACGCCCGCAATTTTCGACAGATTTGCACCAAAATTTATATGCACATACTCCAAGTTAGCGGGAAGGACAAGACCGAACTTGCATTTCTCAACTTCCATCGATAGCGAAAATAATCGATTTTTCATGCTTCTACGGCAGTTTTCATGTAGTTTGCGGACATTTTCTACTGGCCAGAGTGAGAGCATATAGCTGGCTGCCACGAATAGGCAGGAAGATTCTATTAGCCAGCATGAGAGCCAACTGCTGACTGACACGAATGTTAACTAGCATGCAAAAAAATCGATAGCTGCATTCGTCACAAGTGGTAACAATTTAAATCTGCATGGCACTTTACTCCAGTTGGCTCATTCGCTTGCTTAAACTCAACGTTGATTCTGATTCCGCAGAACTGGGTTGGGTGTGAAAAAGTATTTGTTGTTAACATTCTTTTTTCATTCGTTTTTTTTTAAAGCTGATCGTTTTGTGTTCATTTTGTTTAGTTCTTTTTTGGTAACAGATTTAATGTTTATTATAGAGCTTAGAAAAAATTCGCAGTGTGAGATAGGCAAGAAGTAAGGCATGTAGCAACATCAGCACGGCAAAGGGCACTCCTTTAAAGGCAAGGAAGGGCAAAATATTTTAAGTCAAGTGATAGCGATTGCTGTATGAGTAGTACGATTTTTGAATCAAGCACGGGCAACGCCGGACCATGCTGCTAGTAGGAAATAAAATATCAGAGTTCAAGCTGAAACGTTAGAAGTATAAATATAGATACATAGATATAGTTGTTAATATATTAGTATTTTCAGTAACTAGTCGAATAAAGTACCTGGTGGGGGAATAATGGAAAAAAAAGCAAAGGCGTTTGGCCAAAGATAGGAATCACAACAAGTGTCTATATTTTGGAAGTTTTTATTAGATATACACTTTGAGGCAAATTAATTGAAACAAACAAATAATTTCGTTATTATTTACTTTTTTTCGCATTTTCCCAATGAAACATGACCCAGTATACATATACCGATGAGTATGGTCTCAATCTATCTATCTATCTATCTATCTATCTATCTATCTATCTATCTATCTATCTATCTATCTCACTGTATTCATATCTATCTATCTATCTATCTATCTATCTATCTATCTATCTATCTATCTATCTCAGTCTGCTGATATCTATCCATCTATCGCAGTTTCTTCGTATCTATCTATCTATCTATCTATCTATCTATCTATCTATCTATCTATCTCAGTCTGCTCATATCTATCCATCTATCTATCTATCTATCTATCTATCTATCTATCTATCTATCTATCTAACCTTGTGCAAATTAATTGAAACAAAACAAATAATTCCGTTATTATTTACCTTTTTTGTATCTTTCCAATGTAACATGACCCAGTGCACATGTTAGTACTTCGTATGGTCATACCACAAAGTCTTTCTTGCAGATTCTGGATTGGATTTAAAACAGATTTTTTCAACCCTATAGTACTTTGATTTGCTTACTGGCATACCTTGATAGTATGTTCGTGCTGCGTTGCAAGTTTTGTATCCGTCTATCGGAGAAAATGGCCGTAGGATAACTAATCGACAGTCGAGACAATAGTGTCTGGGTGTGATAAATATAAAAATCTGATTCAATCTCGGATGTCGCAATATTAGTTCCCGGGCCATTCTATAGTACCTTGATTTGCTCACTGGTAAGGCTTGCCATTGTGTTCTGCAGCGTTCCAGTTTTCGTACGCTTCATTGGAGTAATTTCCATCGCAGACAATGGCCATAGGACAACTAATCAAGAGTCAAGATAATAGTGTTTGAGCGGGATAAAAATCTGATGCAATCACGTATGACGCAATATTTTTCAAGGCCAAACAAATTTCATCATCCACCCCGAAAATAGATTCATATTACTGCATACCACTGCAAATGACCTAATCTGAGGAACAAATAGGTATCGATTACACCCTGCCACTCCAGTGGGTCTAAAACTGACCGTATGGTGAAAGAAAGTAAATTAAAGCGATTGTTTCAATCAATTTGCACAAGGGTGCAGGATATGATTTTGTATGGTGGCCATCTTCAAAGCAAGAATTAACTGAACGTTTTTTTTTAATCAGCTTTAAGCATGGTTTTCTAGATGAAATGTCAAAATATTTTTAATTCTGACAAGTGAAAAAAGTTTGGAGGATTTCAGTATTTCCACACCCGGATAATAAAAGTCCGGAAAATCGACGTCCGAATAAACGAGGTTTGAATAATCGAGAAGTAGTGTAATAGTCTTAACATTCTAATACCTTAGTGCAGTGTTAGGTGTTATTGTACTCTGTCTGATATTTATATAGATTTTATCTCAAGACCATTACGACGGTCATTATTACATAACAAGATTGCAGCACATTTGTACTTGGGGATACAGCTGTATTTTTAAATTTAGATGACTACTACTAGTGGCTTAATCGATATTGTTGCTGCATCAGAAATGATAGATACCCGAAGATAGCAGCTTTAAGTTGAAGTTTACCACAGGCTTATTTCTTATTTTGGATTCACATTGTTTATATAACGATCGAAGGATCACAATCCACTTCCCAAAACTTAACCAAATGACTTGGTCAGACTAATAACCTATAGGTATAAACTTATTCAGTCTATCTGTCTCAATTAATTCATTATCTATCTATCTATCTATCTATCTATCTATCTATCTCTCTAAAAGACAATAGGAAAACTCTATTATTAGCCGACGCGTTTCGTTCTATGTGGACGTTTTCAAGCAAAATACGAAATGAATTTATTAAAACAAAGTGACTATTAGCACAATCGATCTGTCTATCTCTGTTCAGATTATTTCACTCTGCATCTATCTATCTCAGTCTGTTCCTATCTATCTATCTATCTATCTATCTATCTATCTATCTATCTATCTATCTATCTATCTATCTATCTCAGTCTGTTCCTATCTATCTATCTATCTATCTATCTACTTCACCTGCAGATATACGCACACGTAACTGTATCAAAACACATGTCTACCCACTGAGAAAAAGTCGATGCAGTAATAGGGCGTGGATGTAGTGTTCCATTAGAACGACGGCAATTAACAAGAATATCTCACGATTGATGAAGAGAGAGAGAAAAAGAAAGAGAGGCGGGAGGGGGAGAGCGGTAAATACGATGGGGTCCCTTATCATGTTAGAGGGTGGAGCGTTTTACATTCCAACCTGATGCGAGCTAACTCCGGACTTTAGAGTTGAAATTATTCTAGACAAAGAGAAGCGGGCTATTAATGTCCGAAAATAAAGGCTGCTGGTCTAATTACGATAATCAGGAGTTATAAGATGTTTTCAGTTCTTCCTGACACCATTTGTCTGCTAGAATTACCCACAAACAGAATTGCTTCCGAAATTGTGCTATTTTAATCGAATATTACGTACCGCGGGAACAAAATAGACAAGTCTCAGACAATTTATATTTATTCCAAGAATTTGCTGACGAAACACTTTCAACACCTTTCTCTCTCTTTTCGCTCTCTCTCTCTCTCTCTATATATATATATATATATATATATATATATATAGATAGATAGATAGATATTATTAATAATAATAATAATAAGAAGAAGAAGAAGAAGAAGAAGAAGACGAAGAAGAAGAAGAAGAAGGCGGCGGCGGCGGCGGCGGCGGCACGGTGGAGTAATGGATAGCGGCTTGGATTGAGGAATCGCAGAACCGAGTTCGAATTCCAGTCGAATACATTACATTCACTTACGTGCTAATACCCTTGAGAAAGGTATGAATCCTCTCCCTCCAGCTATAGGTAAAATAGTAGGACAGACCGGGTTCTATAGCCTTGGATGGCAACTGGTCTAGGAGAAGGACAACTCTGAATTCAAAACCCGCGGAGGGTCCTTTAGGAACCTTGTGGCATTCGGTGCACCAGGTCTCTGTATTCGTCCCTTCAAAAATTGTGGATGGTCCTGCACGAAGCCTTCACCACTATAATCAAATCTCATGTGCCGGTGTCGGGCTGTCGGTTTCCTGGAAACTGATCTGTTTGACCCTCATACGTCGAATCTCGACGGGAGAGTCGATTATTATTTTAAAAAGAAGAGAAAAGCCGCAAACGTTCGTTTTGGGGTATAATGTGGATTTTTTCAAATATATATTATACTTCATTTTCCATATTTTTGTTACACGTGTTTCCGGTCTAGCGACCTTCAGCAGATAAAGAATGCTTATAATTACATACAAAAGACAATGGTTAAGCATCGAAAACATAAGGAAATTAATTCCATTTAATATGTGACAATAACAACTCTTTGTCTTATGAAGGTCACGAAACCGAGAACCCGTGTAGCAAAAATATGGAATATATATATATATATATATATATATATATATATATATATATATATATATATATATATAAATCCACATTATAACAAAAGAGGTTTGCGATTTTTCTCACTTCTTTTAAAATATACACTTTTCTCTTCTTCGAACAACTATAACCTCTTTATATATTATATATATATATATATATATATATATATATATATATATATATATATATATATATGTGTGTGTGTGTGTGTGTGTGTGTGTGTGTGTGTGTGTGTGTAAAATATATAGAAAATAGTATGTATATATATATATATATATATATATATATATATAAAATATAGTATATAGCGTATATATAGAAAATAGTATGTACCGTTGGAATCATATTTTTAAATAAATAATTATATATATATATATATATATATATATATATATATATATAATCGACTCTCCCGTCGAATTCGACGTATGAGGGTCAAGCAGATCAGTTCCCAGGAAACCGACAGCCCGACAACAGCACATGAGATTTGATCTGTCCTATCAACAATAAGCTACAGAAGAATTCGAAATAGATCGCTGCATTTAAGTATTGCATTAATATATAAGCTTACCTTGTAAAGTTCAACGATAATTCTTCTGTCGTCACTGAATTTAAAGGAGATTTGATGTACGTGGGTCCTTACTTTCTGCACAAACAATTATTTTTATTTTATCGGTGACTTTCGTTGGATTTCGCAAGTAATATCGATTATTCTCAAATTTCTTTCCAAGTTATAAAAATTGTGAAAGTACAAAAAATTTAGCGCAAAAAACACGTTAAAAAAGTCGCCAAAAACTATCACATTATTGAAAACTTGGAATCCCAAATTGCAGGATTGTGAGTCCGGAGTGGGCCTGTTTCTCTAATTCTATGATATATTCGGCTAGGACCTCTAAAAGTAAAATTGAATAGGTGTGACATAGTAACACACTGACATTCGCATATATGTAATCTCTATAAATGTCCTTAAATGTCTATAATTGGTAACAGAAGCCATTGTTTTATACCAACGTCTTCCCATACTTAATACTTCTCGAATTCACTCTCGCGTGGTCATGTGTGACGTCATGAGCTGCGGTGCGATTTTCGCTTCTAGCGTTTTATATGCACGTGTTTATCGTTGCTTGGAAATCATCCATGTAAACAATAACAGACTATCATCACCGTCTTGACCGTATATTGCTTAATATGTTGTACAGTAATTGACATCTTTGATAATCTCTACAAATATCCTTAAATGTCAATAATTGGTAACAGAAGCCATTGTGTTATACCAACGCCTTCCCATACTTAATACTCCTCGAATTCATACTCGCGTGGTCATGTGTGACGTCATGAACTGTGGTGTGATTTTCGCTTCTAGCGTTTTATATGCACTTGTTTATCGTTGCTTGGAAATCATCCATGTAAACAATAACATACTATCATCACTGTATTGCTTAACATATTATACAGTAATTGACATCTTTGATAATGGCTTATGTAAGCCGAAAGCTTAGATTGGGTTAAAAAATAAGGATCAATATTGTGATTTTCTTTCTTCGTTTAATAATGTTATTAAGCTTATCAGACGTTATGAAAAGAATTTACATAAAATAAATAGACAACACTTGTCTATATTATTTAATGAAACGTATATATATATATATATATATATATATATATATATATATATAAATGAATAGGATAAAAAATTTACAACATGCACAAATACTTACACGTTCATAAGTATATTTATCCCTAAAAAAAGTGCACAATGTTTTGAAACAGAGCTATAAGTATATATATATATATCAGTGAATATACATAATATCGAACGTCGACTTTTGAATATTATGTATATTCACTAATATATATATATATATATATATATATATATATATATATATATATATATATATATATATATATATATATATATTTATTTAGGGCAGCAATCCTTCATTTATGCATGTTTCATTAAAAACGACAAACAAGTTACTACTACTAAGTTTTTTAAAATTTTCTTGTATTCGAAAAAGTGCTTTCTTTTTTGGACACAGAGTGTGTAGAAATTGTCCAAATGCTTTATAATTACGAATGCTTTCGGCTATGCTTTCAGCTATTATCAAGGATAATTTTAGTTTTTTCAGTTTAACTGAGTGTGTGTGTTGTGTGTATGTTTTTAGTGTTATAGAGATGTTTTATTTTCCAAACACAGCACATTGTGGCTGTTGTGCTGGCTTTTTCTACGATATATATATATATATATATATATATATATATATATATATATATATATATGCTTCTTCCAATAATCTTTATTGAACTTCGACGATCATGAAAATTTTTATGGTTTTGATTTCAGATTCATTATTCTGTTACAATGGTTACGCACCATCGATGACTAGCCGTTTCTGCCCAGTTAGAGTTGGGAAAAGTAAAAGTGAATTCATATCATAAGTGTAGTTACGCATAAGTAAATGTTATCAAACTTTGTTGGAATTTGATCTTGGTTCGCATGCAGAGATGCTATCTAATGCGTCACCTGCACATTCCCCCTCTCTGTTATTTGCAACGAGGGTAAAAATGTCGTTGGTGGGTCCTGAATCCTTCTCCGCCTGCCTGACTGCCTGTCTGCCTGATATTTTAATACTTACCTGTTTGCTGGTTATTCTCAAAAGAAAAGCAGGCTTTTCTAGTCTGTTGCTGACGTCATAGGTGACGTAAGATTGCAGAAAGATTCAAAGTAGCAGGATGAGGAGGTGGGAGGTTAATATTTCAGAATCAAAACACCATGCATGGAAAGAAAGAAAGAAAAAAAAGAAAGAAAGAAAGCAAGAAAGATGACAGATAGAAAGAAAGAAAGGAAAATAGAAAGAAAGAAAAAAGAAAGAAAAATAAAGACATTCAGAAAGAAAGATGACAGATAGAAAGAAAGAAAAAAGAAAGAAAGAAAAATAAAGACATACATACAGAAAGAAATATAGAAAGAAAGAAGACAGGAAGAAACAAAGAAACAAAGAAAAATAAAGAAAGAAAGAAGACAGAAAGAAAAATAAAGACAGGAAGAAAGAAAGAAAAAGAAAGAAAGAAAGACAGAAGACAAGAATGAAAAGAAAGATAGAGAGAAAGAAAGAAAGTGAGAAAGAAAGAAAGACATCAAGAAAGACAGAGGAGAAGAATGAAGAGAAAGATAGAGAGAAGTAAAGAAAGGGAGAAAGAGAAAAAGATAAAAAGAAAGAAAGACATAAAGAAAGAAAAAAGAAAGAAAGACAAACAGATCGCGAGAAGTAGAAAGAACTGAAAAAGGAAATTAGAAAAAAGCCAATGAATGCTCGAGAATCAACTCACGAAATAAAGAATGAATTAAAAGCGCACGAAAAAATAAAATAAATAATGCAGTAGATTTGTCTTTACGGTTTATCAACCCTTATTTAACAGTGAAAAAACTGATAGACGAAAAAAATACTGTTTAAAGAGCGGTGCGTCTACACAAATACGGTTATCCACTAAAATTAACATTGGAAGTTGGAAAAATATAGATTAAAATATAAAGTCCATATATATATATATATATATATATATATATATATATATATATATGATGAACTCAACCGTCGTTTTCGACGTATGAGTGTCTTTCAGTTCAGTTTTTAAGCCTGTACCTGTCCACGTCGCCTTAACTCTCTCGCCAGTGGGTTTGTTGCTCAGATGGAATAGCAAAGAAGAAACACAGAACTGAACTACAGACCACCCACACAAAAGATTTGTTTAGAATGGTGAAGGCTTGTATAGAACCAGCCACACTTATTGAAACACTAATATTCCATGGTTATAATTTATTACATTGGAATCGTAATTACGATCAAATTCATCAAACCTACAAATTCAATTTTTGAGTTTGTAGGTCTGTTGAATTGGATCGTAACGATTCCAATGTAATAAATTTTAACCATGGAATATTAGGTTTTAAACCGTATATATATATATATATATATATATATATATATATATATATATATATATATATATATATATGTGTGTGTGTGTGTGTGTGTGTGTAAAATATATTGAGTGTGTAAAATATATTTAGTTTAGTTAAATTCATCCGATAAAGTGCTTATTTGTTGGAATTTTTTTAATGATTTAACCCCAAGAAGGCAGTAAAGTCACTAAGACACAAGGGGTTACTGAGTGTGAAAGAATTAGAATAAAAAGAGAAACATTATTAAGGAGTGAGAACAGTAGAAGAGTGTTCAGGAAAATAACAACTGAAACTGCAGTTAAATTTATGAAGATCAAAGTTGTCTGGAAAACAAGATGCCGGAAATGTTTTCCACAACTAAGAAGCGCGTGAAAGGAAACTTCTAGAATAGAAGTTACAGTTACATCTATTACTTTCAAGTATAAATTGATGAGACCTTGCCGCCAATCTAGTACTGCGATGAAATTCATAAAGTTTAACTACCATCGAGGAAAGATCATCAGATCATGGAGGTATTTATAGAAAAGACACAGGGAATCAACTTTACGGCGGTAGAAGAAAGACATATTCATAATAATCCTGCCCGTTCTAAAACTCCTCTGTACTTCTGAAATAAATACAAGACATATGTGAAGGATTCTTGATACAATTTGTTCCCATACAATTCGAGAGGAACACAAAGCAGTACCCTTCCTGTGATGGATGTGGCCATGTTCTTTTTAGGATCTTTGGGCATTTTTTTTTTGCTAACAACCAGGTATTGTCTTCTTGAAGTTGATACTTAGTCCGTTCTTCTTGCTCTCCTTCACTAATTTCTGTCGGAGATTTTGTAGTTTTCTTTTCCTATCTGTTATCAATACAGTGCCATCTGCATATCTTATGTTGTCAAGATTGTGGCCGCCAATAATGAATCCTGGTAGGACTTCTAATTATCTCAGAATCGCCTCGCTATATAGCTTGAATTAGTTCGGTGACAAGACACGTTTTTCTCTCTGTATGGAGGTGGTTTCCTGTCAATATAGGTTCTTCATTATTCTAATATCGTTTCCAACCCGTCATATGTAAATCGATAAATCCATGTCCTGGGTAAGACGATAAACTACATCCGCGTCCTGGGTAAGACGATAAACTACATCCGCGTCTTGGGTATGACGATAAACTACATCAGTGTCCTGCATACGACGATTAACTATATCCGCATCCTGGGTAAGACGATAAACTACATCCGCGTCTTGGGTACGACGTTAAACTACATCCGCTACCGTGGTAAGACGATAAACTACATCCGCGTCCTGGGTAAGACGATAAACTACATCCGTGTCCTGGATACGACGATTAACTATATCCGCATCCTGGGTAAGACGATAAACTACATCCGCGTCTTGGGTACGACGTTAAACTACATCCGCGTCCTTGGTAATACGATAAACTACATCCGACAGCAAGGCCTTTGATCAGGAGGTTCCGAAGAGGATGGAACTACTTTTTAATTGCTGGTGTTCCCAGGTCCACCCTGACCCAGGATGGTAGCACGTGTTAAGTTTCCAGCTATGGGCAAATAGTTAGCCTCCCAAGGGGAGTCAAAACACTATGAAAGTATAAAAATAGGTTTTAATATTAGCAATACTTTTTTTTTTAAATTATTACCAGCAGTACATTTTCGAAAAAGAAAAATATCACCTGCAATAAAAAATCTTGAGGTTGGTATATTGTGAAACAAACGAAACCAAATCTTTTCAACTATGTCAGGTTTGCTGAGCAATTGTAACAGATCTTCGTGGCGTAGTTTATCGAATGCCTTTGCGTAAAGTATAAAATACAGGTATACATCCTTCTGTATTTGTATTGCTCACTTTGTGCATAAATATTGCTTTCCTTGTTCCAGTGTCTTTGAAGAACCTTTACGGTTCCTTTTCTGCTTACGGTCTGATTCAGCTGGGCGTTCTATTCATCAAAATTTGGATGATAAGATTCGTTGTATGACTCATTAAGCGAACTGTCCGATGGAATTTGCATTCATTTGCACCTGTCGAATATTACATTTATTGTTTCAGTAATCTTGTCAATGCCGAAATTATATAAGGCTTCCAGCATCTCTATTACAGTTCCGTCTGGTCCTGCCGCTTTGTTTCTGTTCAATTTGGTCAGTTCTGATATTTCTTTGCTTTGCCGGCTGTTCTCTTTTTGTCGTTGAAGAATTCTCCTATATATTCGTTCGATCTCTGGAGTATTTTCCTTCTCTAATATCAGCGTTCCGTCTTTGGATTTTATGCATCCAACTCATGAACATATCTTTTGTCCTGTTAGTTTTCTCATATTTAGAGTAGGGGTGGGGACATACCTCCTTCATCTTTGATACTCATTCTTTCTATTTTTGTACCAGAATTCATTATTAACAGCCACAATCTTGAAAACCTCAGATATGCAGATAGCACAGTACTAATAACAGACACAGAAAGAAAACTACAAAATCTCCTGCAGAAGGTAATGAGAGAAAGCGAGAAGAAAGGACTAACTATAAATTAAAAGAAGACAGAATGCATGGTTGTCAGCAAAAGGATGAATCCAAAATGAAAATTTCAAATCGGGGAAAATAAAATCACTAGTTTTGTAGATTTCATTCATTATCTCTACAATTTTGTCTACCGAAATCACCTAAGACTGCCAGTATCTCTCTTACAATTCCGCGGTTTTTAATATTTCAGGTCCGTCGATATTTCTATTGACGGTTGTTCTCTTTCGTCGTGGAAGAAGTCTCCTAAATATTTGTTCGTTCTGAGATTAAATATTGTATTCTTTGTTCCAGTGTCATTGACCAACCCGCACTGTTCTTGTCCTATCTCCGGTCTGATACTTCTGAGCGCTCTACTCATAAGAATTCGGATGATGAGTTTTGTTATATGGCTCATTAGGTCGATTGTCAGATAGACTTCACATTTATTGGTACCTGGATTCTTAGGCAGTGCTATGGAAATAGATCTTCTTAGGTCTTCCGGTATATCACCACTGTTGTAGATTTCATTTATTATTTCTATAATTTTGTCTGTCGAAATCACCTAAGACTGCCAGTATCTCTCTTACAATTCCACTTCCGTTTTTAATACTTCCGGCTCATTGATCTTTCTATGTATTACCGTTTGTTCTCTTTCGTTGTGGAAGAATTCTATACATTCGTCTCGTCTCTAATGTATTTTTCTTTCTCTAATATCATCGATCCGTCCTTAAACTTTATACAGACTATTGATGAGCAGGTCTTTTGTTAGGTTTGCGGGGTGGGGGGCATATCTCCTTTATCTATGATACATATTCTTTCTATTTATGTACCAGGATTCACTAATAACGGCTACAACTTGAAAACCTCAGATATTCAGATGCCACAGTACTGATAACAGGCACAGAAAGAAAACTACAAAAACTCATGCAGAAGGTAATGAGGGAAAGCGAGAAGAAAGGACTAATTATAAATTAAAAGAAAACAGAATGCATGGTTGTCAGCAAAAGGATGAACCCAAAATGTCAATTAGAAATCGAGGACACTAAAATCACTAATTTTGTACATTTACTTTATTATTTCTGTAATTTTGTCTGCCGAAATCACCTAAGACTGCCATTATTTCTCTTACAATTACACTTCGGTTTTTGATGTTTCTGGTCCGTCGATATTTCCATGTATTCACGGTTGTTCTCTTTCGTCGTGGAAGAAGTCTCCTAAATATTCGTTTGTTCCGAGCATAAGCATTGTGGTCCTTGTTCCCGTGTCATTGACCAACCGCCACTTGTCCTATCCGCGGTCTTATTCACCTTCCCGCTCTAATCATCAGAATTCGGATGATGAGTTTTGTATAATCGATACTTCAAATATACAAATCAACCATTCGCCCTTGCATGGAGTATTGCTGCCATATATGGTCCGGGGCACCTTCTGTTTACCTCGGAGTTCTTGACAAGATCCAGGGACGGATATGTAATATAATTGGCCCTGATCTGGCATCTCGTCTACAGTCACTCTCTCACAGACGCGCCGTCGCCTCTCTCTGTCTTTTCTACAAATACTTTCATGGTAATTGCTCCGCTGAGCTGCTTTCACTGGTTCCCAGACTCCATGAATTCAAGCGCCCTACGAGGCTGGCATCCCGCTCCCACCCTTACACTGTAGAAACTTTTAAATGTAGCCGTCTCTTCTACTCCAATAGCTTCATACCTCGCACCTCTCGCCTGTGGAACACCCTTCCCAATTATTGTTTCCTTTAGAGCTATAATCTCCAAGTATTCAAATGTAATGTCAATCGACACCTCCAGTTACCTTGATCTACCCACTATCCTTTCTTCTATCTCTCCTATCTGCTATCGCTCCTAATCTTCTGCAACCCCCCTGCATCCTAGTGGCTTCACGCCTTGCTCGGGGCGTAATGCTTAAAAAAATATGGCTCATTAGGTCGATTGTCAGATACAGTTCACATTTGTTTGCACTTGGTTTCTTAGGCAGTGCTATGGAAATAGATCTGCTTAGATTTTCCGGTATATCACGAGTGTTGTAGATTTCATTTATTATGTGATCTTGCCTTTAAAGAAATCATCTAAGACTGTCATCGACGGTACCGACTCGCACCCAAGCACGGTGATCGACATTCTCTCTCTTTATTCCTTCCTTTTCCCTGCCTGGTGGCGGTGGCGGAGATGGCTGTGAAGGCTCAGACAACTCCTGAAATGAGCAAGACACACAGGCGAGTGTGGTTGGCGGACCCAGTTGGGCGAGTCAAGCCCTCCCTACAGAACGTCGCAGATTCTATGCCTGTCGATGGTTGGACACGAAATCTTCGGTCGATCCTATGGATGTTCCTGCAGCACTGTTTTCCAAGGTCTAAATGGTCTCTGTCGGCTTGTGTCAGGGATGTATTTAACTGATACTTGAAGTGTCGTTTTGAGCCTCCGCGTAGCCTCTTGCCGCTAGCGAGATCTCCAAACAGGCTGATACGATGTAGTCGAGTGGGTTGCATTCTAGACACGTCGCTAGTCCAACAGAGGCGATGTTGAAGGATTGTACCCTCGATGTTGGGGAGAGACGTAGTAATTCCACTGGAATACCACCAAATCTAGGTGCCTTGCCGATATGTTTGATGGTGAGCTTTATCTCTTGAAGTGGGAACAGGATGCTCGTTTGATGCAGTTACTCATTATGTGGCAATTTATCTATGACTGCGTCATCAATATTAAATGGATTAGAGAGGCGCTTGGACAAATATCCAGCCCATCGTCTCCGTATGTCTTTGGAACCCTTAATGGTTGTTCTGTCAATAAGAGATCTCGGCAGAACGGCAGGAAAAGTGTTGGAACCAAAAACTTGACGCAGAAGACAAAACATATCCTTTGACTCATGCCTGTCAATAGCATTTTGAACTTCTTTCGAGATGTTACACCATAGTACCTACATATATATAAGGTGTTGGCCAAATTACTCAGGTGAGAGCCTTCGCATCACCTGCAAAGGCGTCCGTCTTATTTTGACGTCCATGGCTCTTAAGATGACCATCAATCTATTTCATAGCTATCATGCATATATGACAAATTTCCTTGATTGGATCTGCATGTCCTACAGTTCTCCTGTGTACAACCATATGCCGCCCCAGTCCAGATGATTATCTGCAAACCTTCCTGTAAACAACAAAGGTATTGACGGCAAGAGAATGAGCCAAGTTGGCATTTCTGGTTATGATCGCCTTTCAGATGGTATATATAACCTAACCTCCTGGGTATGACGATAAACTACATCCGGCAGCAAGGCCTCTGATCAAGAAATTTTGAGGAGCGTAGAACCATCTCTTAATTATTGTTGTTCCCAGGTTCATCCTGACTCGTGGTGGTAGCACCTGTTAGGGTCCCAGATATGGGCAAATAATGAACACCCAAAATGGTGTCAAAACATTAGGAAAGAATAGAAACACATTTTTATAGTAAACATTTCTAGCAATAGATTTTAATAGTAAAAAACAGAAAAAATTACCAAAGCTCCCAAGGAAATTAAATTTCGTCATTAAATGACCCATGAAAATTTGATATATCGTTAAACAAACAGAACCAAACATAACCTAACATTGACAACAGCATACGTTCACAGACACCAGATTTCCAAGACTGTATATTAGTTAGAAAATCAGCGTGAGTGCCTCTTGATCTGATCTTGCCTGAGGCATTCACCATCTACACGTCGATTGCGACGTCTTGTCAGACGATGGCCTCTCCTTTATTGATTGACCGTCCGTGAACACGTCGATGACTTTTAAGTCCTACCAGCGACTTGCACATCTTGGAGCAGATATGGCACTCATGACCATTGGCGTTGGTTGAGATGACATACTATTGTAGCATACCTACGGACGATAATGCGTATGTTCCTCATCCACATAAATACATTATGTACACACATCTTCTCTTCGGCTTGGAGACAGCCGCATCTCTGCTCGGTGAATGTTGAAATCTGTGGGCTTTTCATTATTAACATTATTCGGACTATTTTCCTCATCTTTGTCGCCATATTTATTACAACGTTTCGGCCTTTCAGTATCTGTCTATATTTCTGAGATGAGGTATTATGTACACTATTTACATTATTCGGACTATTGTCCTCATCTTTGTCGCCATATTTATTACAACGTTTCGGCCTTTCAGTATCTGTCTATATTTCTGAGATGAGGTATTATGTACACTATTTACATTATTCGGACTATTGTCCTCATCTTTCTCGACATATTTATTACAACGTTTCGCCCGTTGTACGCTCCGGCCTTCTTCAGGTGGTTGGAATGTTTATCGGGAATGACATTTAACTGACTGAAGTTATGTTATCAGCTTCTGAGTGCAGTTGGCTCTGTTTTTCTCTTGTATTTTAAAAGCTCATAGTCGACAACTGATGTTCGTACATCTCTTGATTTTTTTTATTTCAAGGGGCAAGTAACCATCCTTAAAATATTTAAATCAGATTTGGAAAGCATGTTCTGATAGTTATTGCTTTTCACTTACAGAATTCTGTGAGAAGCTTTAATGTCCTGTTTAAAATAATGCCCTTGTACTTATATCCGCCATGATGACGTCTGAAGCAAAAAGTACAGTTGAATAATATTGATGGTGCCCAGTGAATAAAGGCCGAAATGTTGTAAAGAATATGGCGACAAAAATGAGGACAATAGTCCGAATAATGTAAATAGTGTATATAATACCTCATCTCAGAAATATAGACAGATACTGAAAGTCCGAAACGCTGTGATAAATATGGCGACAAAGATGAGGACAATAGTCCGAATAATGTAAATAATGTACATAATACCTCATCACAGAAATATAGACAGATACTGAAAGGCCGAAACGTTGTAATAAATATGGCTACAAGGATGAGGACAATAGTCCGAATAATGTAGTGTACATAATACCTCATCTCAGAAATATTGACAGATACTGTGGGCTTTTACAAGAATTTTTTGCCGAAATTAGACTCAAGAAAAATAGGGTTTTAATTTTCTCTGGTTTGGTGATGTTAATTTCTAACCAACAAACATTTTCATTTAAACCGTGCATGTATTGTGGAATATTGTCTGTTATTGGGTAGAAAATGAAGTATGGGCGTGTTTTAATTTGGTGTGGATGTGGTTATGTAACTGTGTTTAAAATAGCGTTTCTTTCCTATATGGTGATTTTGTGGAGTCTACAGGATTAATTAATTAATGACAACTGACAATTCATTTCTTACTGATTAATTACATTTTCCAACTTTAAATATAAGTACTTGAACGCAAACTGAAAAACATTATATATCCATACATACCTACACGTCGATTGCGACGTCTTTTCAGACACTTGCCATTCCTTTATTGATTGACCCTCCGTGAACCCGTTAATGACTTTTCATTTCTGCCAGCGACTTGCACATCTTGGAGCAGATATGGCACCTTATGGTGTTCACTGAGACGACAGGGACGATGTTGGTATCACTATGCGGTGGGAGCGTGAAATTTTTCCATCCTGGGACTCAATGCACAGCGTGAGAGAGACAACATGGATTGCTTTCATTCGATTTCATGTAATTAACCAGGCCTGCCTTTGACAGCAGGGTACAGTCACACACCTTATAGATCCACACATCTCCACAATTGACCGGCAGATGTTCCTGTTTTGTGCATACTCTCTTGAGTTTTGCCTGGTCTGCTGTGGCTGCTTGAAAAAGTTCAGTACCCTGAAAAATCACAGCCCTCCCCTGGCCACGACCAGATGCTAGGTACTCGTTAACAGAACACCAAAATAGGCTAAACTCTCCTTGAAACCTTTTTTTAGGCTGGGGCCTCATGCCAGGAAGAAGCACACCATAAAACATACATACGTACATACATAATGAATAGTATAACAGTTTCCTAAAACAGAAGCGTAATGAAATATATTTGATTAGAATCGTTGCCATATACGTAACTCAGACTAAAAGTACCATTAAAAGTAAATAATGGCGTTTTATTTTCTACTCCAATTCTTTTCCTTCGATGTTCCGTCTCCTTTCAGGACATTGGCAATCATTTTTCTCTCTAATTTCCCGTCATTTTTAGCTCTGAATAAAATTTGTCTGTGATCTCTCCATGACCTGAGTCTTCCATACATTTACCCAAGCTCTCTAGGTAGGTTATGCGTTGTTCTCTTTGTCCGTCATTTTTCCAACTTTCCAAGTCTTCTTCCCTCATCGGTTCTAGATATATATGCTCTAGAAATTTCAACTGTCTCTTTCTAATGTGAAGTATATGTGTACTTTTTTTTTCTATTTTCCACGTAAACTCCATCCGACAATCAACCTAATGCGACCTCAAAAGGCATCATCTGAATTCTGTTCAGTTGAACGGGCAGCAGATTCAGACCCGCGGATTCGTTAAAGATGCAGGAACAAGGAATGCAATATGTATACTCAAAATGATACCAGAAAGGGAAATACAACTGCAGAACGGTGTCTTTCTGCGTTTTATAGATTACTAGCAGTAGAGCCTGGCGTTGCCCGGGGATGTAACAGTAAGAGATAGATTAACTATCGACCATCATAAAGACTGAAAAATAAAATTGACAAAGATTATTGTTTAAGGTTGACGGACACGCATATCTTAATTAGTTTATTTTTTATTTTTTATGAACTGGTCAAACCCAAACTCAAACAAAAACATTGTTTTCAATCGATTGAATAGAATTTTATTATAAACAATTGTCTTGTAAATGGAATTTTTAAAGCATTCTGAATGTAAAAATAAAGAAAAAAGTGTGCAAAACAATAAGAAACACTACGTGCCAAAAAAAGTGAAGTTTTGTTGAAATCGGTTGAAAAATGTAGGAAATCCGATCCCATATATAAACGAACATACACAAACACACACACAAACAAACTGGGTTTTATAATAAGTATAACTCGATATGAGTTGTCCCCTCTTAATCGTGTTTTCAAATTGATTTCGTGCAAAAACAATTCTGTTTTTCCAATTTTTGGCGCTGTCAGAACCACCACAAGGTAATTTTACGCAGTCTTGTGAAGTTTTGTTGAAATCGGTTGAAAAATGTACGAAATCCCATCCACTATATAAACGTACAGACACACACACACACACACACACAACTTGGGTTTTATAATAAGTATGATGAAAAGAACTGTTGGAATTCCACGGTAAATTTGACAATAATTTATAAACACTAGAAAAGACAGGAAATTGTGGAGATCGCTAACGTTCTGAAGGGTCACGGCACAAAGAATAAAAAGAAAAAGAAGAATGAGTTTGATTCAATGGATGACAGAACAGGGTTTAAGAAAGATAACAAAAATTTATTAGGAGCTACAAAGGCCAGGAAAGTGTGGGGAGCCATGATCGCTAATGTCCTGAAGGGACGCGGCACATAGAAGAAGAAGAAGAAGAAGAAGAAGAATTAGCTTGAACAAATGGATGGAGAAAGAAGATTTAGGAGAGATAACAATAAGAGAAAATTTATTAAGAGCTAGGAAGGCCAGGAAAGTTTGGAGAGCTATGATCGCTAACATCATGAAGGGACGCGACATGAAGAAGAAGAAGAAGAAGAAGAAAAAAAAGAAGAAGAAAAAGAAGAAGAATCACCTTGAGCAAATGGATGGAGAAACAAGATTTAGAAGATATAACAAGAAGACAAAATTTATTAAGAGCTACAAAGGTCAGGAAATTGTGGAGAGCCATGATCGCTAACGTTTTGAAGGGACACGACACATAGAAGAAGAAATTGCTTGAGTAAATGAATGGAGAAACAAAGTTTAGGAGACATAGCAAAAACTCGAAATTTATTAAGAACTACAAAAACCAGGAAAGTGTGGAGAGTCATGATCAT